ATATATATATATATATATATAGGAATGCTAATATACTTCCACTTATTTTTTAGTGGGAGTATATTAGTAATCTACACCAAAATTTTAGGACAAAAAGACTATTTATTTATTTTGATTTGGTTAATTTGTATAAAGGATATTATAGTAATTTAATTTAATTTTAAATAAAAATTAAATATTTTCTCTCTTTTATTAATTTATTTCACTAAGTCATTTCTTTCTCCTATTAAATTCCTTCTCCAACCCATTTCTCTTTTCTATTAAATTTTTTCTCTAACTTATTTATCTTTCTTATTAAATTTCTTCTTTCACTCATTTCTCTCTCATCTCTCATGATGTCTCCCCCCTCTCTCTCTGAACAAATAAAAAATAATTAATAGAAAAAATAAATGACTTAGTGAATGAAGTTAGTAAGAGAGAGAAAATATTTTATTTTCATTTAAAATTAAATTAAATTACTATAATATCCTTTGTACGAATAACCAAATAAAAAAAATGTGTGGTTTTTTGTCCTGAAATTTTGGTGTAGGTTGCTAACATACTCCCACTAAAAAATTATGTATGGTCATATTCAATTATTTGTACTAGTTTGAAATTAGTGAAATAATAATTTTAATAATTTTTTATATGATACAAATTTAATTAATATAACTGTTGCAATTGATGATATTACATTCATGATCATGTCCTTTTAAATTTAAATGATTTGAACTTTTCTAGATATGTTAACTAACAAATAATTTTTACAAGTATTACTAATAACATTTATATGTCAAAATAAAGTGATATGATTAGTTAATAAATAATTTTATAATTATATGCAATTTGATATACTTGATATAATTAGTAATATCATTAAATACAATAATTAGATCAATTGAATTTGCATTCTATATAAAATTATTAAAAATGTTATTTTATTAAGGCTAAAAACCTATTTTGGTCTCTTATAATAATTGTTTGTTTCAATTTAGTCCCACTTTTATTTTTTGTCTCAATTTGGTCCCTAATAAATTAATTGGTTGCAATGTCGGACTTTTGTCCAATTTATTTAGACGGAGTTAACTGTTGGCCACGTGGATGCCACGTGGAAGCTACGTAGATGCCACGTGGAAGTCAAATTTTTGTCATGCATCTGGAACCAGAACGGCCCGTTTTGAAACTGGAACAGCCCGTTCTGGTTTCACTCTTGGTGCGTTAATTTTGCATCCGGAACGGGCCATTCTGGATGCAAAATTAACACACCAGGAGTGAAACCAGAACGGACCGTTCTAGTTCCAGAATGTCACACATACAGTTAATGATTATATCCATAAATTTTAGACCGTGATGACAATACTTATTCATATATTTGTAATATTAAAAATTATATATATAATTTTTTAAAGTATAAATATATATATTATAGTTATTTTTTACAAGTTTTTATATCAATAATCATGATTAAGAATGAAATAAACTAGGTCAGATTATGTTATATTATAATTTAACATATTTAAACCTAATTTTTGTTAAAAATACATGTTATAAATATTATATATTTATCTGTCATAGACATTTTTTAAAATGTTTGGTTACATAACAATCTTAAAAACCTACTTAATAATAATTTAACACTAATAAAAACATATAAATAAATATGTTAAATCTTATAAAAATTAAGTTTAATTTATTTATCATATAAAGATGTTTTTAATATGTGATATAAATTTTTACAAGGCTTAAATATGTTTTTAGTCCCTCAAATTTAGGGTAAATCTATTTTTGGTCCCTAATTTAAAATTGTTGTTTTTAGTTCCTGTAATTTCAAAAAATCTTAATTTAGTCCTTATATTCAAATTTTGTTAAAAAAATTATCAAATATTATTGCATAAAATCTACTTATTGGTGTCCCTATTAGTGAAAATATCACATTAAATCCGGTTGATATTGCATAACTGTCTTAATTAGTCACTTTCAAATATGTTATTGGTGACCTAAGGGACTAAAACAAGATTTTTGAAAATTACAATGACTAAAAATAACAGTTTTAAATTTGAGAGACCAAAAATAAATTTATCTTAAATTTGGGGGACTAAAAACATATTTAAGCCCTTTTACAATTTTAATTTTTTTTATCAACATAAACAATAAATAGAAAGTACAAAAGTTTGACAAATATCAGATAAATGAATAACTCCTCAAAATTTATATTTTATACATACGATAATATATATATATATATATATATTAGAATATAATTTTTATTTTTTAAAATATATTATTTTTTAGATAAAAAAAATGGTACATGTGTAAATGGTTTGCTTTCGATTTTTGAACCACATTGATGCACTATGTTGGTTGGCGTTCTGGAATGACCCGTTTTGAATCCAGAACGCCATTTTGGAAGTCAGAACGGCCCGTTCAGATCTCAGAACGGACCGTTCTGCTACACGCGTTGGTGTTAAATAATGCATCTAGAACGACGTTCCAAATGCAAAATTTACACACCATGAGTGAAACCGGAACGGACCGTTCCGGTTTCAAAACGGGTCGTTCCGGTTTTAGAAAGGGCCGTTCCAGTTTCAGAACGGGCCGTTCCGGTTTCAGAACGGGTCGTTTCGATTTCAGAATGGGTCGTTCTGGTTCCAGATGCATGACAAAATTTGACATCCACGTGGCATGTACATAGCTTCCACGTGGCATCTACGTAGCTTCCACGTAGCTTCCACGTGGCATCCACGTGATAAGTGTCTAACTAATCTGATTAAATATGAATTTGAGACACTTATCTAGCACAAATTTTGTACATATTGATATAATTTTGGTTTATAAATACTTAGAATCAAATAGGGACTTTTGATTTATGTTAGTACATGAAGCGATGAATCTTTTGATCAAATTTTGTGTTATTTTGTAGGTTTTGAAATCTGGAGGCAAACGGCTGAGCGCCTTGAAACGGCTGAGCGCCTTCAAGCCAGAGAGCTCAACAAATGCAGCAAAAGAGAGGCGCTCAGCCACTATAAGGCGCTGAGCGGATTTGGCCCTGGAAGAAGGAGTGCTCTCTGCCACCTAGGCGCTCAGCGGATATGAAGCGTCCAACCCCTTGTGCTTGCTTAACAATGAAGAATCTCTCAGGCGCTCAGCGGATTTGAATGGCTTAGCCATTCAGATTACTTCATGGTGAAGAATTCTTCAAATCGCTCAGCCGTTTCAAGGCACTGAGCGGATTCCTCTTTCCTGCCTACTCTGTTTTAATTCTAGCAATTATAAAAGGGCAGGGGAGAGAGAAAAGGGGGAACAGAGACGAAAACAAAGAGAAAAATAAGAGTGGGGAGCACAGGAGGAAGAAAGAACAGAGTGGGAACGAAGATTTGGAGGCTGGATCACTTGGGAACGAGGATCAACTCCTTTTCTTCATCTCTTCCTTTGTAATTTCTTCTTCCACTCCTTTGATCTTGTAAATGGCCATGAGGGGCTAAATCTTTGAGGATTGGTCTAGATGTAACTACTAACTCTTCTTCTTCTTAAATATATATATGCATTTCATTTTCATTACTTGTGTTTGATTCTTCTCTTAATGCTTATATCGGCTTGATCACCCGTTGTATGATTTTTGGTTTTTGAATCCGGTTGGAAAACGTTTTTGAAAACCCGAACTGAATCTTGCACCTAAACATCTCTTGCTCTAGGAATAGACTTGATTTGTTTAGTCACCTTGTTCAAGTCATTGCTCTTAATGCAAAGTGTTAATCATAAAACATAGAGGAATCATGTTTTAGATTAATTACTTTAGGATTCAATTTTGAGGGATCTTGTTGAATTACTAAATGAACGTGGAAGTCATGAAGATGAAATCATATTTATTTTAAGGAAATTTAGGAGTTAGCAAGTGCTCTAGGGTCCAATCCTTGTTTCATATAATTGTTCTTA